GTACACCGCTTTTATTATTGCAGCTTAGATGTTCAAATAGCTGCAGTACTCCGACTTTGCCACAAGGAAAAGTGTGTACGCCTGCTAAGACCCTGAAGTGGCGGTAAGTACTTTTCCACGTCAAAGACCGTTTTTATAAATATGAACGTTGCCGTGGATTTTAGCGTACGCACACTCTAAGATCAAATCTGTGCGTATGCACAATTTATAAATGAGGCCCCTGCTCTCAACCAAAACACTGACTGCATCAGCCATCAGGAAATTTAAAGAGACTGCTTAAAAATTTCACCCTCAAACAAACCATTATGTTGAATGTAGTGTCTGCAACAGGCCAAAATCCAAATGGGCATTTGAAGTTCGTGTTGGACACTCATCATGATAAACTTATGGAGCTTATGGAATTTAACTGAAATATTTGCATGAATCAGCTTAATATTTGTGGCCAAGTCGGTATAGATTGATAGATTAGACAGACAGATAGATAGAGATAGAGAGACAGACAGACAGACAGATAGATAGATAGATGATATGTGTAAACAGACAGATGGAGAGATATGTATAGACAGACAGACAGATTTAATGTTATATATTTCAAATGAAGCACGTTAGTAACTTTCCAAATAAGTTAATGTTCAGCATTTGTTTAAAACAAACTGTTGACATTGTGTCATAACATATTGAACGTGATCAGTTTGTACCCTCTGGGATGTTATTTTCCCTGCATCTCTACTCGAACCCAACCAGCACAGAGCCGACCCCCACAGTCCTCCGCTTTCAGAGCAGAAAACCTGCCTTTGGCAGTATTCCTGGTCTCTCCACTGCATTGTCTTCATCAAAATGGCTGAGCTGAGAGATCTGCTGCTCCAAGAGCAACGATTCCCTGCGGACAGAGTTTCTGCATGGACTGCACCAGCAGCTGCTGGCAGTACAAAACCACCGCTTTCTCCAAGCCCTGCAGTTATGTGTGGTTAATATCGTGGATAAAGTTGTTGTAATTTGTAACATGCTGTTTGACATTGTTACCACAAATTGAAGATTTTAATAATTTTACAAATATGACTACAACATTGTTTTAATAAATGATTCTTGATTTTATGTAAATGTATACTATGCACTTGATTATAGTGTTGGCAAAACTGAATTATGTTTGCAACTTACAGAGGTAGCTGTTGAGCTCTGTGTCATTTTACTTCTTGTACTATAGGGGGCCAGTTTCAGAAACAGTTTTTTTCTAAATGATCTCATAAAATGATCAAACCTCTGGATCGTCTAAGAATAAATACATTTCAAAAGGTTGAACAAAGCAATGTATGTTTCTCTTGATCAGCTGTTTGATCTAAAGGCCCATGCTTAAAATTTTTGTAGTTTTTTTGGAAGAAATTATTTATTTAAAATTGTATTTTTATTCAGCAAAGACACATTTATAATGTTACAAAAGATTTATTTTTCAAATAAATGCTGTTCTTTTGAACTTTCTATTAATCAAAAGAATCATTAAAAAGGATCAGTTTCCATAAAAAATATTAAGAAACAACTGTTATGAACCTTGATAATAATAAGAAATGTTTCTTGCGCAGCAAATCAGCATATTAGAATGATTTCTGACATTTCATGTGAAGACTGTAGTAATGATGCTGAAAATTCAGCTTTGCATCACAGAAATAACATTTTAAAATATATTTAAAAATTGTAATATTGTAATATACTGTTTTAACTATTCTTGACCAAATAAATGCAGCTGTAATGAGCAGAAGGTATCTTTTTAAAGAAATGTCTTCTGCTCACCACAACTATCTATCTATCTATCTATCTAAGCACAAGAACAAGGATGACAACTGTTAAAGAAGCTCAAAAATAAGTTAGTTTAGATTTTTTTCCCCAACATTTATTTTATTTAAAAAGATTGAAAAACACTTAGATTTTTTTAGTAGTTTTAATGACTTTTCTACTCTAAAATGTGGGTGGGAAAAAAATAATAGGTATGTCAAAAGTTTTGGCTGTTAGCGTATTTTCTCAGGGAAAAGCAATGAAAAAACACTTTGTTGACAGTTGAACCTGTCAAACAGGTTACTCTAAACACACCTGTTCCTTTTTCTTTCTCTTGCACTCACTTGCTCGGTTCGGTATGAAACTTGATTACGTAGCTTACTGTGTAGAGAGAGAACACTGAATTTATTAAAGCTAATTATTAGTTAAGATAACTCCGTGAAATGGCAGAGGAGTGTTTTGAAGACCTCGATCCATTCAACTGTCCCATCTGTCTGGACGCACTCCAGGATCCAGTGACGATTCCCTGCGGACACAACTACTGCATGAGCTGTGTTAAAGAATACTGGGATAAAAATGGCAGCAAATACACGGGTTACAGTTGCTCTCAGTGCAGGAAGACCTTCTCGCCTCGACCTGTCCTCAACAAAAACACCATGTTTGCAGAAGTGGTGGAGCGGTTTAAAAACACAGGCCTTCAGGATCCTCCACCCACACGTTATGACGGACCTGGACACACGGAGAGAGAAATCTGCACAGCAGAAAACTCCAAAAACGTCAAGATGTGTCCAGAAAGTGAGGATTTGTGCTGCAGGGCCCACCTGAGATATCGTAACAATGGCTATCCCAGAGAAAAGCACACAGTTATCGTTGTAAGCGGGGAACCCAAAGGAAATATTTGTTTGCGGCACAACAGGCTATTGGAGTTTTCTTGTCGGACAGACCAACGGTTCATCTGCCCACTGTGTCTTAATGAAGCCCACCAAGGACATGAAGCGTTTTCATTGGCACCTCAGAAGACGCAAACACTAGAGTGCAGTACGACTCTAGAGAAACGAGAGCACAGGAGTAAAGACAAAACAACTGGACAATGTAAAAGGAGAAGTCATGGCTCTAGGCATAGACATGGACACAGGAGCGGACAGACCCGGGGTTCACATGCTAAAAGAGGGCATCAAACACACTGGCATAAAAGTAGTAAACACAGAGGTAATTCGCATGAGCACAGTCATGAGGCTGGACACCGAAAGAGACGACTGGGAATCATGGTCATGACAGGACCTGGCACTAGAAGAACCTCTGCGGATAATGTTAAAGCAGTCTGAACCTTGATTTTGTGCACAGCGTTACAAGTGCCATGTTGTTTTCTAGAGGAATGTTGCTTTTGCTAGATTCAGGCATCGACGGAAAGCTCGCGTCATTTCTTTTGTGAGTCAGCAATCCATTTCTGGACGCTTTTTATGTTCATTCTATTGTATTACTGAATAGTATTAATTAGCATGATTGTTTGATGTTGTTTGTTGTTCTCAATTCAGTGTTGGGTGTAACTAACACATCTAAAATAACTTGTACACTTGGATCACATTTGTTATTAATATATTATAATATGAAAACAACCTGTTTTGAAGAGTTACGATGTTTCCTGATTGTTGTATCGGAGTTTTTTTTTTGCACATGTATAAGGGATGTTTTTCTTTGCAGCTGCTTAATTACTAAAATGGCTTGATTTTGTGACAATTTCAAAAGAAATTTCATGACTTTTCAATTGTTCGTTATTACGAGATAAAAATGTTTAAAAATCTTAGGTTTATAAATGTGTGCCCATAACAAAAATAATTTTTTTGCAGTTTGAGAGAAAAAAAGAAAGAAAAAAAAAAGTATTACGGAAATTTCCATTATTGTTTCCTGGCCTGGAAATTAGATTTTTTATTTTAATTAATTGTTTTGTTTTTAAATTAAATAACTGTGAATTATTTACGGTTTGTATTAGTTCAGTTTGGATTTTCCTATTTTTTCACTACTCCTAAATAAAAGGATTATTCAGTATCTTTGTCTTGTTTCCAGCAGAACGTCTTAACATCCCTAAAACATTCAGATCAGAAGGAAAATTACATAATATATTAATTCTTGTTGTAGCAAAATTTACTGTGGCTTGTTTAAAAACAAGTCAAAACACTTGTGACAACAGGTACGAAAAAGCTACTTGTTTTTCATGTAAATTAAGTTCTTACCAAATCAGTCAATTGGAAAAAAATTTTTTTTTTTTGGTTACACCTGTACCTCAATTGTTCTTAGATTTACCGTAAAGTAAATGTATCTTGTTTTAAGAATTTTTAGATAACTATAGTGAAAGTCTAGGCAAATATGCCAAGTAATAAATAGTGTACACATATCTTGTGTATTTTCCCCTCAACAGTTATTGTAATATGGTCACACTGGAAAACTTAAAACATAAATATGAAACTACCCAGTGAGAACATGATGTGTTGTAAATGACAGAACATTGGGAGTTGTTAAAAAACACTTGGAAAGGGGATCAGATCTGATTACGCTACTCTCTCTACATTACCTCAGTTCAGACTGAAATAAAATCCCCTAAATAACGTGTATCTCTCTATAAGCATGTATGGCTGAAGCATGTTTAATAACGACTCCGTAAACACCTCTTTTAGTTATGCTCTTTAATTAGTCCTGGAAAACATGTAAGGCAAAATGGTCACATCACACACAGAAGCGTTATGAACTCTACGGTCCTCATGACCACACGCAGTCCAACCAACCCAGAGTCAAGCACAGAAACAGCAGCACTTCAGATTCTCAAAATTATATGAAGAAAGTTTTGATGGAGGGCTTCAAGAAACAAACAACAACACAAACAACCCGTGGTGCTTCTCTGACGTGTGTGGAGGGGGAGGAGCATTAATGCTGACGGATAGGGGCGGGGTTTGAATTTAGAACCAATCAGTGAACAGGAATGTAAGCTGGTGCCTCTGATTGGCTCTTCAGTCAAAAAGCCAAGCAGGAAAGTTGGAACTGTAATTCAGAGTGCAAACGGAGCCTTTTGTGACTCGAGATCTTTCCGAAATGTCTCCAAAGTCACCATGCATCTTTATTAGCGCAAGTATGCATCCGAATGTACACAAAAAGTGCATTATTAAGACTGCGAGATGTGTGCAGTGTGCATTTGCGAGACAAAGATAGACCCGTTACGCTGAGCATGTGTGGGAAACGGTCCACAATGACTCAGTTTCTCATATGTGCCAGACAAAGAGAAGGCAAATACATCGGCCGTATAAATTTAGAGCTAAAAGCCTTTCGAAGCTTCATTTCATTAGTGCTTTCATTAACGCATAAATTAATAAATACATTTCACTGTAGGCACACCAAACTGCACTACGTTTGCGTATCTAACATCCTAAATAACGTCTAGGCATGATGCGATTTAGCGCTGGTTAAGGCTGCATTTGCAGCAGGAATTCTGCACTCTGCAAACCTGAGGGGCGTTTCCTGTTCTGGGAAAGCTATTGGATTGAGAGACTGAGGAAGGAAGCAGCTTGGCTCGATCCGAGCCTCTCTGGCTCCCAGTCGCACAATTCCATATCCACGAGAGACTCTCGCACCTGCAGCTGAGCTCATTGTGGAGCCGTTGTGAGCTCCAAAAAAAGGAAGAGGAAGAATACTCCAAACCATCACGCTATAATAATAATAATAATAATAATAATGTCTAAACCTTGAGAGATTTAAAGTGAGCATTCCCAGCCCAGATGTCATTGTTTTTGGGTGTGGGTGCTCCGAATGGTCTCTGAACGGACCCAGCGGCGCTTAACACTAGCCAATGCAGACAGAACTAGGGACGAAACCGAATCGACAGCCGCTCTGATGTCATAAGCAGCCGAGATGAGTTCCAGAACCGGAATGTCGCTGCTGGATCGTCTGGAAATGAAAACACAGCAGGGTTTGCTCGTGAACGGGCCTCTAAGACTAGATGTTAAAGGCATAGTTCACCCAATTTTTTTTTTTTACTCACCTTCATGTCGTTCCAAACCTGCATGACTCTTTCTTCTGCACAAAAAAATATTTGGAAGAATGTTGGGAACAAAATCCTTTCTTTTGGTTACTATTGACTTCCATTGCATGGACAAAAATATCTCATTTTATGCTTCACAGATAAAGGAAGTCTCACAGGTTTGAAACAACACGAGGGTGAGTAAATAATGACAATTTAAAATTTTAGGTGAACTATATCCTTTCAGGATCGCGATTAATTACTACTGTACATTCACTGAGAAACAAAAAAACAACGAATAGCCAGCAAATCCTGAAACAGCTTGGAAAACTACACAGACATGAATCATTCGTTCGTTCTGACTGTTGCTGGATCTTTTTGTTGGGTTACCTCGGGTCATAGGTTAGAAAAGACGCATAATTTCCGATGAACTCCACCATGATACACAAAAGTGCATCCGTAAACAACAGTACACCTGATCTGGGGGGTTTCAGATCAATGGGAATGAGATTCCAGCCCTTCAGGACAGCAGAGCTGAGACGGAGTTAGGGACGAACTACGGTCTACGTGCGTGTATATGCATTCGCGTGTAAACATGCGTGGAGGCAATCTGGTGTTGGTCTACGACTGAGGCACAGTGAGAACGAGAGGTTTTGCATGGATTCGAACGGTAGCGGAAAACAAAATTTGGAAATCAGTCAGCACCAATAATATTCAGGGCGTTGTCGACCACACACGGCAGGAGCGAATTCAGAATCTCAAGATCTTTTACTGCAAGGTCATTTTGACAAAAACCACAGACGGTTAGGTTTTTTTTCTTCATCTTTCATTCTTCGTTTTTTTTTCTTCAGTACAGTAAGCACAGTTATAGCGAAGGTCATGCCTTCACGAAAAAGTTTGGCACACTCGGTCAAGACCAACGAAATCACATGATTCATCACATTTTAGAGGAACTGCAGCAAAGCCTTTTGAACTCAAACTACTGAAATGCAGACCACAAAAACAAACAAACATACAAAAAAAAAAAAGAAACCTAATACAAAGAGGACGGATATTTTTCACTTAAGTTAGTTAGGGTCACTTGGTGCTCTTGAGTCACCATCCACAGGAACACAGGAAGAGAACCAGCGGAACACAACAAGAAACTGAAACTCAATCCCTCGGATCCGGAACTCAAAACCGGATCGGGATTCAGTGAGTTGGAACATGGTGACTCTTCAGACTAGTATGGCTGTTCCACACCCACCCCAGTGCATTCTGCGCCTGAACGGTCATCTGCACTCGTAGTGATTATGTAAACACGAGCATGCATCGAACAATGCGGCCTTCTGAGCATCTCCATGCACGTTCAAACGCTTGTTTCTCGGTTTTAGAGGCGCATACAGAGCGAGTGTGTTGGTGGGAGAACGAGAATGTGACTGAAACGGTGTGAAAACCCGGACAGGAACCAGAGATACGGCGGATTGGGTGTGGAAACGCCATGCTCTGTAAGTGCAAGCTGAGTGCAAACGATAGCAAACCATTGCAGGCCGTTCACGGGGGCCGGAATATTCAAGAGTGGCGGTGAGTTAGAAAGTGATGGAGGAGGAGGAGAGAAAGAGACGGTTAAAATGCCAGACGGTAGCATGAGGGAGGTAGAGAGACAGAAAGAAAGATGTTTTAATCTAAATCCGACAACAAACCTGAGGACAGACAGCCAAATACAGAAACACACGTACTCGCACACAACAAACGTACATATAAAAGAGGGGCTCTGGTTTTGTTTCACATAAACACTCACTGAAATGAACCAGACTCACAGTGTGAAAAGAAAGAGAGCGGTCAGCAGGTGTCTTGATTACTTGAATGATAGCACTGCAGTGCATATAAATCACCAGCGGAGGCAGTAGATTACTGCTCTCTTGAGAAACAGGGGAGGAGGAGGAGCCAGAGGGATTGATTGACATGTCTAAGCGAGGGTGTAGCCACATTCCTAAATGCATTCAAATAAAACCACCAAAGTTTATGGTATAAAAGAAGCTGCGAGTGGTTGTCTGTTTGTGTCCGTCTGCTATGTGGGGGTGAGACCTAACTGTCATCCCTAACTAGCCTAACTGCTGTTGCTATGCCAACCACAATGACGAAATGGGTAGAGAGCGAGAGAGAGCGGAGTTAGAAAAGCCAGACGGAGCGGAGATCATATTTAAATGCGAGCTGCAGGTCAGCATGATCGTGTGGTAAGCAGTCACGGGAACGAGGGGCGGAAAGCGTCAGGATCCTGGAATCCTGGAGGAGGTTCTGGAATGAAAGGCCACTCCTGTCTTTATGAGTCCACATCTGATACAAGAGAAACGATGGGGAAAAGGCTGGGAGAATGTTCTCTATAATTTGTCCTGCTTGCCAAGCTAGACTCATTAAAACCCTGGCGCTTGCCCCGTTTTAATGACATGGCACATTGATCAGCTGAAGCCTAAAGCACCCTTGTTAGTTTTTGGGGTAACGTCTGCGATGTGCACATGTGTACGCATAAAAGAAGCCTGTTGTCCCTCTCGGCCAATCAGAAACCACCCTGACTCCGCCACGGGGGCGGGGCTTGAGTACATGTGAGTGAGTCTGGCCCAATAAGGGGAAAACAACATAAACAATGGGAGTGTAGGTGGGTGCTCTTGTTTTTGCATACCAAGGTGGGCAGAAAAAAAGGCTCTTTCACTTTTGATGACGTATGGCGAATCAAACAAGTGCACCCACTTCAGAACAGAGACGAAAAGGAAACAGAAAAGCCAAACTCACAGTGGGTACGCAAACACATGGAGGGGTGTAGAGAGCGAATGAGGTGGTTTTTGGTTTGCGTCTACAAAGAATATTTCAGTGATATACAATAATTTTATAGTGCATTAGTTTGGCAGGAATAACGTTAGAGGATATGGTAGTATGATTTTAAAGGGTGCAGAGTAAGGTTATTTTGTTATATAATTAAAGACGTTGGTTGAGTAAACACTGCCGTGATAGTTATAAAAAGGATAATACTGCCCTAACATGCCTTGGTGGCATGCAGTCATATGAAATAGTTAAAAAGGACGCAGCAGAACCGGGAATAAATACTACCGGGTTACAACAGAACGATAAAGTGGTGTGTTCCCTTGGTGTATAAAGTGTGTGTGTGTGTGTGGGTGAACATAAGTGGTGTGTGAATTCTGTTGATTGAATGATTGCAGAAATGCAGATCTAATGTCAGGAATCAACTGGGGTTAAGCTAATTACACTATACACCCCTCCATACACACACACAATCACACATAACACACACACTCACTCAAACCACTCCCAAACCGCTGACACAGACACAAAGCACATCCACAATGTTTCTCTCCACTCAGTTCTCCTCTTTCTTGGCTTCTTCCTTCTTTTCTTCTGCTTTCTTGTCGTCCTTCTTGGCCTCTTCCTTCTTCTTCTCCTCCTTTTTCTCCTCCTTCTTGGCATCATCCTTCTTCTTGTCTTCCTTCTTCTTGTCATCCTTTTTCTTGTCATCTTTCTTCTTCTCCTCGTCTTTCTTGGCCTCCTCTTTCTTCTCCTCTTCCTTCATTGGCTCGGTGGTGAGGATAATTTTACCGATGTTGTTCCTCTCTTGCATCCTACGCATGGCATCACCAACCTGAGCAGGAGAGAGAGAGAGAGAGACTGGTGAGGGTGCGGATGAGGAACGGCAGAGAGAGCAGCTTGACTGGCCATCTGCTGTGGTAAGAATATCTAACAAGCTGTTGACAGTTGATCTAATACTGAACTTCACACGCACACAAACATCCTTTATGAGATTCTTAATGTCTCCAAATTTACTCTTACTCCAGAGAATAAGGTGGCAGATGACCTCTAGCTACAAGCCTTTGGATTTACAGCAGTGAGAACTATGAATTACTAAAATAGCATGTTATTGAACAAAAATTTGGAAACGCCCCTGAGTACCAGAAGTCTAGAGGGTCTTTAAAGGCAGGGTAGGTGATTTGGTTCAGAAACATTTTTGTTATGCTGGCTGAAAGTCTCTTCACATCCTGATAGCAATCGCCTACACTACCTTTAAAGTTAAAAATACATTTTAGGCTGTCGGTTTATTTCAGCACACACACACACACACACTCTCACACACACACACACACACACACATACACGCGCGCACACACACACACACACACACACATATATACACTATTTGTTTAATTAGCTAAGCAACAATAATGTCAATATATCCAACTATCAATCATATAATGCTAAAATGCAGATGAAGATGAATTTGTGTTCTTCCTCTTTCAGTGTTCAGTATATCAGCTAGTCTCTGGTCAGTCCACCTGTCTCCCACTCTGTTTCCCCCCCAGTTCACCTCTCCTTTACCACTCTACCGAACAACCAGCACCACGGCAACAGCGAGCCATCTCCTAGCAACAGGGAAAAGCAACCTGGCCCTGACGATTGACTTGTGGACAGATTGAGGAAAGAGAATGAGACAGGAAATGAGAGCGAAGGACGGGGAGATCAACATACACAGAGCGCTTCAAACAGCTCTTCTCATCAGCTCAAGTCTTGTGAAATATTCGCTTCAGTTGAATGCGAAAGCACTTCATAATTCCTTTTACGAATTTTCAATAACACCAAAGTCTGACGAGGCTGATAAAAGCCCGGATCGTCATAAAAGTATCAGCTCGCAGTCGCACTCACTTATTGTAAGCAGGAAGAGACATCTCCATAGCAACAGGAGAGATAAGAAAGGAGGAGAAATAATAGGGAAAGATGGATGAAAGAACAAGTGAGGGACGAGGCAGGAACGATTGATCAAAGGGTGGAAGGAGTACAAGGCATGGGAGGTGGTTGAGTTGACACCCTCGCATATATTTAATCTCAATGGATTTCAACTTCCTGGCGTAAATACACTTCCAGATATAATTATACTCGCGTTCTTTTCCCCAAAATACATCAGCTCCCGTCTGACACTCATTCATTCACCTGTTCTAGGTGGTAGGTGGAGTCAATTCGGGGCTTGATCTTGCCCTGTCTGTACAGGTCCATAAACATTTTTGTTATGCTGGCTGAAAGTCTCTTCACATCCTGATAGCAATCGCCTACACTACCTTTAAAGTTAAAAATACATTTTAGGCTGTCGGTTTATTTCAGAAACAACAATAGGCAAAATGATTATTTCTTTCAACTGGCTAATCAGACATTTATTTACAAATGGCAATAATCTCAAAATGTCTGAATATCAGCGAATATTGTTCTATATATTGTCTATCACTGTTCCTCAATGGCCAGTACTCAAATCTAGATAGCAGTATGGCTTTAATTTTAATAATTTATAAATAATAAAAATATAATTTTTGTTTATACAGGTCCACAACGGCTGCCATGGCCTGAGCGATGAGCTCGGTCTCAGAGTCCAGGTACCCCAGGTGAAATCCGCACACCGAGCGGTTTCCCTGGATCAGGCTCAGGGTGTGTACGGAGAACTGCTGGTACCAGGTCTTAGCCACCGCAAACAGGTTCTTCTTCTGACCCGCCAACATGTTAGCGGCACCTGCAAACACAAACATCAAGTTGACACAGAAGACATAGATATACATCAGTGCCTTAACATCAGGATTTTGGATCCATTCTCGCAAGATATTACTATGATTTATGGGATGGGAGGTATGACTGAAATGTTATTACAGCATGAGTAATTTTCTATCACGAAAAGAGAAAATATTATAATATATAAATGAAGGTGTAGAACCATCTGAAGGATGATCAGAAGAAATGGACAGCACCTGAGTTCAATATATGAGTGTCACAGCAAAGGGTGTGAATACTTAGGACCATGTGATATTTCTGTTTTTCTTTTTTAATAAATCTGCAAAGATGTCAACAATTCTGTGTTTTTCTGTCAATATGGGGTGCTGTGTGTACATTAATGAGGAAAAAAAATTAACTTAAATGATTTTAGCAAATGGCTGCAATATAACAAAGAGTGAAAAATTTAAGGGGGTCTGAATACTTTCCGTACCCACTGTATATATATATATATATACAGTATGAGCCCATTGAGTTTTAATAGACCCCCTATGGCGTGCGGTGAGATTGAGAATGAATGGGAGAAAGTTACGAGAGAGAGGAGGCAATGCCTCCATTGCGATATGATTGAATATGACTGGTTATGTTCGGCTGTGATTGGTTCATGCGATAAATCCCGCCTCTTGTGATCGTGCGTGTTCGCGAATCGGTCTGAATGAACCATATAATGGAGTTAATGGAAAGACTAATTAAAAAAAAAAAGTAATCAACTCACACTTAGATATAACCACTTTGTTAGGTCAACATATGACTTGAAATGGCCCAAAAACGTGATCTGTGGGAGTTTTTAGTGAGTAATCAACTTAAATCTCCTATTGGTCTGTGACCAATAGACCAATATTTACAGAGTTTTGATGACTGATGACCCGAAAAATACAAAAATTGTTACAAGTTAACTGTTAAAAAGAATAGCTGAACACAAGTACAAAAATAAAATATATTGTATCGTTATAAAATAAATTGTTACTGCCTTGAGTTATTATTTTGAATGTAAAATGCTTAAAAACACTCATTTGAAGAGATTCATACTTGGCTTTAATAAATAGAATATTGATTACATTGTTAATGTAAAAATATAAAATACAGCCCTCTACGAACACCTTGGCAATTGAATCGCCATTGGCTAGTACACTTTTTTGTTTACTCGCCAGACTGCTAAATATATA